CTTTAGTCCAATGGAATATTGTGCTAAGCTGGTGCATAATCAAAGACAGTGGTTCAAGACATTGATTGAACACAAGCTCTCGCTCTTTCATGGCTTCACCAAAGATGGACAATCTCCAAGACAAACCTTGTGATTTGCTTGCCCTGTTTCAGAATGGCTGACCAATCGTACCATGGATATGGAGGCTGGCCAAAGAGCCATCATTAGATTTAAGAACGAGAGGTAGTAAAAAAACTCCAAATGACATGGCACGAGACAATTTTACAAGAGAATTAGTGAGGTCTGAAAAATATAAACTATGTTTTACCAAGACACCGAGTACACCAAGAAAAGAAACAAGTAAGATTGTACTGAAAAAAGAAACAAGTAAAATTGTACTAGGATCAAAATAGTGTATATGACACTTTCCCCAAAAAAGTGTATATGACACAAATCGGCAGGCAAATCAATAAATACAAAAAAGAGAAGATAATAGATAAATTTATTATATTTGGTCCCACGTATAGAAACTATACATTAGGTAAATACTACTCCCTCAGGTTATTATTGATGTTATTAATTTTCAAAAATTTATCGTACATATACCAGATACATTACTTCATAAATTCCAAGTTATTGTGATTTGGATCAAAAATAAGGAATCATGTAATTAGTAGTAGATTCGTACTTTGAGCTTTCTATTGACTACTAAACAACTAGTCCTAATTCAAAAGGTTGCTAATAAATATAATTTTTCACTTTGTTTGAAGTATGATCTTTTTTGAAGGGAACATTACTGGTAAGGCCCAGTAGTTAAATATTACGGATTAAAGAAAGAAAACATTAAGTACAAAAGAAAAAGGAAGAGGAAAACAGAACAATTTCAGAAATTGTAACAGCACTATATTGTATAGTTGCTCATTCATCCTGAAGCAAGATAATCCCATTTCTGAAGCAGTCAAACCATCTGTTAACATTAGGCTGAATCTGCTGAAAGATAAGAGCATTTCTTTGTTTCCGAAATGCCAGCAAAGCTAGTAGTGCTATTTCCATAAATCCGTTCCTCCTGAATGTCACACTACTACAGAATCGATTTCTCCGTGTGGTCAAAATGCATTTTTTCGTACAGAGGTCCTGCCCGTCTGCACCCAGGTGTCTGCGAAAATCAATATTTTCGCATCCAGGCGGTTGCGGTTGTGTTAAGTTGACCGCATGAGATAATCGATTATCCCGTGCGGACAAATTATACCACCCGCACGGAAATAAAAGAAACCGAGAAAAATAAAATCGAAGAAATCCCGTCGTCGTCGCCGTGGTCGCGCAGCCACCGCTCCTCCCGCCGCCACTGCCGCTCGCGATCGTCGCTGTCCTCGTCGTCGCCGTCGTCGCACCGCCGCCACTCCCGTCGTCGTCACCGTCGGTGCGCCGCCGCCGCTCGTGGTCGTCGTCGTCGCGCTACCGCTCGTGGTCACCGTCGTCCTCGTCGTCGCTGGTCGTTGCACCGCGGCCGCTCCCGGCCTCTGCCGTGACCATCCGCCGTCGCCGCCACGCCGCCTCCACCAACAGCCGCCGCTCCGCCGCCTCTGCCAGCAGCCACTGCGCCTCCTCCCGCGCCATCAGCGGTGGTGGTGGCGACGCCCCGTACTTCATCGACCAAGTGCATGCAGGCTAGCTTAGCTTTGGATGGATTCGTCTTCGACGAGAGGAAAGAGGCAGAGAGAGAGGAGAGAGAGAGAGGGGAGGGGGAGAGGATAGGAAAAGGAGAGAGAGAGGAGGGAGTGAGGGAGAATAAAAGGGAAAAGGAAGAGAGAGGATGTGGAAATTTTGAAGTGGGTGAGAGGGAAAAGAAAGAGAGAGGATGTGAAAAATTTGAAGTGGTGAGAGGGAAAAGGAAGAGAGAGGATGTGAAAATTTGAAGTGGGTGACAGGGAAAAGATGGAGATGTATTTTCCCGTGCGGTTCACTTAAGAGGCTCGCACGCGAAAATTGATTTTTCCGTGTGGTCCTCTTAAGTCGACCACATGAGATAATGCATTTTTCTGTACGGGCGACAGCCCGGCACCGGTCGCCCGGTTTTTCCAGACGGTGCCACTTACAACCCGTCTGGAATCTACCGGGACGGGCATCCAGAAAAATCATTTCTGTAACAGTGTCAATCTCACAAGAACAACGATTTTATAGAAGTTTAGAGACTATTGCATTCCTATCCAACTCCAGCAGGCCCTGCTGAAAGGGCAGTCAAAGAACAGCTAGGTTCTAGTTTCTCTTGATGCAGTGACACACAAAGAACAAGTGAGTATTGCATTTAGAGATGCACAATGTTCGAGATCCATCATTTCTCTTGTATTTAGCTGATCATTGAACAATAACCAGCCAAAAAACTTTTATTTTTATTATACACCTTTTCTTCCATATCAAAAGACCCCGTCGGAGGTTGCATTCCAGCGAAGAAGAATTTGCACAATCTTTGAGTAGGTGCGTCGACGAATTCTTTTTATCTTTTGAACTTTTTCAATTTTTAATTTTAAAAATAAACCCTTTCAACACTTATTTTCAAGATACGAACCTTTTGGCTACGCGAACTGGACTAACGTGACAAAACAACAGTTTCACGCCGATCTGGTTGGCATGGCAGCGTTATTTGGCCACGTCTCCCTCGCTGGCATGGCAAAATAGAACTATCATGCCCGCTATGCGTAGCGTGTCAGTATTGTTTTGCCCGCTATGCGTGGCGTGTCAGTAATGTTTTGCCACGTCAGATGGAATGACGTAGCCAAAAGGATCATAATATGGAAATAACTTTTGCAGGGTCTATTTTTAAGTTAAAAAATAAAAAAGTTCAAAACATAAAAAAAATATGTGTCGACCCCATATATATGTCCAGTACTCCGGTTATCTGCATTGGAGCTTAACACCGTGCCTTGTATTTCCGAGCTAATTTTCAGGAATTCCTGACAATCTTGATATGAGAGTGGCATATGAAAGACCTCTGCCAGGTCACTACTGAACATTTTTGCCACTGAATATAACCTTGGCCCCAACAGGAAGTAAAGTTTGTAAAAATGTGAAAGACTTGTTGAGCTACATCGCCACTTTGCTGGACCCGATTGGCGGTGAGCCACGGCGTGCCTCCGTTTGGGAATCATGGTCAGAAATCAGCGAATGGACTATGTGCCTGTTTGGATCAAGGGACTACATGTCATATCGGATATTTGACACTAATTAGAAGTATTAAACGTTGACTAATGATAAAACCCGTTCCATAACCCTAAACTAATTCGCGAGACGAATATATTGAGCCTAATTAATCCATGATTAGTATATGTGATGTTACAGTAAACACATGCTAATTATAGATTAATTAGGCTTAAAAAAATTGTCTCGCGAATTAGCTCTTATTTATGCAATTAGTTTTATTATTAGTCAACGTTTAATACTTCTAATCAGTAACCAAACATCCGATGTGACAGAGACTAAAATTAGTCCCAGGATTATGGAATAGGTTTTGTCAATGAAGTCTTTCCTGCAATGGGTCTTGTCCTAGAAGGACTAAGGTGGTGTTTAGATCCAGGGACTTAACTTTAGTCCCTGTCTTTAGACACTAATTTAGAGTATTAAATATAGACTACTTACAAAACTAATTACATAAATAAAAGCTAATTCACGAGACAAATTTTTTAAGCCTAATTAATCTATAATTAGAGAATGTTTACTGTAGCATCACATAGGCTAATCATGGATTAATTAGGCTCATTAGATTCGTCTCGCAAATTAGTCCAAGATTATGGATGGGTTTTATTAATAGTCTACGTTTAATATTTATAATTAATTTTCAAACATCCGATGTGATAGGGACTTAAAAGTTTTAGTCCCATCTAAACATGGCCTAAAAAGTCAATGAAGTCTTTGTTGCGAACATTGATCATTCAGCCCACTGCTACAAACTACTCATACGTACTCCCTCCATTTTTTAATAGATAACGTCGTTGACTTTTGAACAAATATTTGACCATTTGTCTTATTTAAAAATTTTATGCAAATGTATACGGTATAAATCATGCTTAAAGTAGTTTGAGTGATAAAACAACTCACATTTTTTTTCAATAAAACGAATGGTCAAACGTACGACAAAAAGTCAACAGTGCCATCTATTGAAAAACGGAGGTCTACAATTACTTCGGAAGTTTTGAGTATGCCGGTGCACACCTGGAACCCCTGGGTCCGGCAGTGACCTTGGATAAGCCTGACCCATGACTGATCCATTCCATAAATCTTTCCGATGGAGAAGGGTTTGTGCGAGGAGTGTTGTTGTTGCACTTTGTAAACACAAATAGAAGTAATAAAAATCAATCTACTTTCAACTTTGTCACACTAGAGGAATACTAGCGGTTAGACCGGCGTCACCTCAGCAGCAATGGACGACGGCAATGCCACGGACGTTCAGATCGGAGCGGCTACAGCGGTCAGACCGGATGCATCTGTGCGGTCAGACCAGCGCCTCAACTCCGGTCAGACCGATCTCCATCAGTTCGAGAGTGACTTTTCATTCAGTTAAAAGTTTTCGGTTTTTGGTGTTGGGACCATTCACCTCTCTCTGGAAGGCTTAGTCTTGTTATTCGATCCTACAATATTTCTCTAAAATTCCTCTGTGCTCATGGATCGTATTGGAAATATACATGTAAAAGCACTGTGATATTAATATATATAGTTTTTCACGGTATGTTAGTTTCTGGAATTAGATCTACTAAACAAAGAAATTCTTACAAATAGGACTATTGAAATGCACACAATTAATTATTTTTCAGATATGATAGTACGCATGGAATTTCTAAGGGCTATAGAGTAATAGCATATCAGTATAGAGGGACTAACTATACATGGTCAAATTTTGCACTTCAGAAAAAACCAAGGAAAAAAAATGTCAGAAACAACTGAAAAACTTGATCCATAGAAGGCCATTACTTCCAGGAAAGATAAACTTGGTAGCTTTCTAAGGTGCAGAAATACCACGGCATTAGCACTAAAAAAAACTTTCTTTTCGATTATCACAATCAAAATAAGCATACTTGAAGAACTAATTATATAGACCAATGGTTATCTCTTCTGATGCTTTCGTTTCCGGAGGCAGAAATCTTGTAGTGAGCTCCTTGAGAACAGCAGGGCAGCTGGTTTTAAGATGGTCATAACCATCGCTTGCCATCATCTCCAGTAGGTTGGAAGGAGATGCAAGGAACTCAAAGCAAGCTTCCTTGAGCCCATTGCAATTGTGCTGCTCAGCTAACGCCAAACTGGTTGCCACCATGCTGGAGTCAATGCTCTCGCATAGCTTCTCCTCGCATATCAGCTTCAGTCTCTCGACGTTGTACCGGTCCGCTGCGACAAGTAGATGCTGAGCCATCACCAAATCCTCCTCCTCGCTTGCTTCGTCTCTGCTCTGATCTTCTTGAGCCATCGTGTCCAGGGAATCGGTGTAAATGAAATGCAGCAAAGACTTAAACACTCCAGGCTCCATATCATCGACTTGAATGGCTCCATCGGCTTTCTCCTTCATGGTGCCAAGAAGCTCGGCCTTGAAGACCGATGACCGAGCAGCAAGAACGCACCTATGAGCAGAGAATCTCTCCTCGCCGACCTCGAAGACCACGTCTGATCCATCCATGCTGTCTAGGAGGTTGCCTAGATGTTGATGCAGGTTGCTTGGAGGAACCTCCACAAACTTGCTATGAACACCCTTGGTTTCTTGGCTGTAGATCTCCTTGAACACTTTGATGTCACACCTGATGGAAAACGAATCGTCTCTTAAATGGGCTGACGATTCTTCCAATACCGTTTGGTGAATGAACTTGTTGTATCCCCACAATGAGCCTTTGTAGGAGAAGGTGCGGAGATCTGTAGTGAAGCTGTAAGACGACACTGATCTCCCATTCTTGCCAAGCAACTCGAAGCTGAAAATCACCTTCACGTCGTAGGAATTGGCGGAGTCAAGGATCAGATAGAACGATAGGTAATCTTGGCTCTCCGCGGAATCACCGTTGGGGTAGAATCTGATGGTCCAGCTGTGGCCTGCAACGCTGAAAGGGATGGATGTCAGGGACTCACCGTTGCGGAGTAACACCTTGATTCTTGAGTACCCAGCTATCTTGATCACATGTGACCCGCTCACGGCCTCCGCGACAATGGTGGAGAAAGTGTTGCAGTTGTCTGTCATTCTGAAGGTAGGATGTGATTCTGGAGATGGATGGAGCATTCTGAAGGTCTTGCAATGTTTAATAGTAGAGGCGTGATGAGTTAAGCTAGACCGATCTGAATGTAGGAGAGTAAGTCAAACGAAAAAAATATGAGCAGAGGCACCTCGAGATGCTTTCAGTAATCAGTTTACTGAAAATTGATAGTAATGTACTACCCCTTGCTGTTTTCAGCGTTTGAGCTATGGACAACATGTTCAGTAAAGAGCTAGACCTCCAGTAAAGTACTACCTCTTGCTATTTTCAGCGTTTGAGCTATGGACAACATGTTCAGTAAAGAGCTAGACCTCCAGACTCCAGAGCTCTGCAGGTCGTCTTTCTCATGGCCGGACACTCGGTCACCCTGCTGCACATGAAGAAGTACACGGTTATCTAGGTCAATGCCAGCAGCACATATTCCGTTCAATTTTTTAAATGGATGAGACCTTTGAATTTTAACATGATGTTTCACTGTTCGTCCTATTAGAAAAAGTATATAAGTGTTACTTATTTAGTTGAGACTTATTTAATCAATGAAGAAACTTTAATCATGCTTGTCACTACGCCGGACGAGGTCAACACTGATAGGCCCAAACCGTCATCTCTAACGGATTCAGCCCTCGTCAGAGATAAGTGGTCACTGATGACGAAATCTCACATGTGACGGGTGAACACCTGGCATAGACAACTCATCTCTGACAGGTTTGTAAGTCATCTTTGAGGAGTCATAACTTGTCACTCGTTACAGATGAGTCATTAGTGGCATGTCGTAACTTGCCGTCCATCGCTGATGACTCATTTATGAAGGGTTGTAACTTGTGATCCATCACTAATGACAAAGCAAGAATTACGATTTTTGAACTTTTAAAGCAACAAAAAAACTCAAAAAAAATATTTTTTTATTTTACTAGCCATCCTATACATGGTCACACATCACTACCTACAAATCCACAATTTTCCGCACAATATAGACATGCATGTGTATAGTGAGTTTCAAACTCAAGACATCCACATCCACAAAGAACCCCCTTACCAACTCACCTACTCATCACATGTTGAGTACTCATTCATTGTTATTATTTTTTCTATAAATGTTCGAATAATTTAACAGATATTTAATGTTCGAATAATTTAACATTTATTTAATACTCAAAATGACATCAAATGAAAACATTATCAACTAAGCAGTTATAGATCTCATCGTGTTCTATAACTTTTACATGGAGAATATCTTCATCCGATGTCATTTGAAGAAAAATAAAATTTTTCATTTTTCAAAATAGATCACACCTTATAATGGATATTCAGGTATGCAAAACTATTTCAAATGAAAATATTGTCAATTATAATATTGTAGATCTGTTTAAGCTCTATGACTTTCATATGGGGCATGTTTCCATCCAGGTCATTTGAAAAAACTCAAAATTTTGTTTTTAAAAGTAGATCTCATCACTTGTAATTCTTACCCGAGGATGTAAACGATCTGTAATGAAAATATTGTTAGTTATAAAGTTGTAGATATCATTGAGAACTACAACTTTATATAGGGCATGTCTCAATCTGAGTTTTTCTTTTGCAAAATTCGAAACTTTTAAATTTTCACTCATCATTAGTGGGTCGTAAAGCTAGCATCCATTCAGAGATAACTTTATCTATGACGTGTGTCAGTTAAAGACCCGTCATACATAAGTGGTCTCATCTATGATAGTCCATGATATTACACTTGTCAGGGATGCATGTCATCCATGACGAGCCATGGTTGTCACCCATCACAAATCATCTATGACGGGTTACAACTACGACACGTCATAGATGACCTCATATGTGTGATGGGTCCTCCCCAGTAACCATATTTTGAACATGATATTTTTGGCCCATCAAAGATGACCCACACACACACACGGACACACACACACAAACACACACTCACACACACACAAAGAGTAAAATTAACTGGGGCACCAACATTCAGATTGAGTATATACCCAATTTAAAGATTTTTTTAAATGTTTAAGTATGAATAGCAAGGGGCTATTTATTAAAGCTTCAACTTCTAAATTTATTGTTCCATTAGGTCTATAGTGGAGTAGGCTGAACTCATGCTCCACATTTTTAGTTTATTTTGTGAGAGTGTTCCACCCAACTCCGCTCCTATTTTAGGTGGAGCTGAAACTGTTTAGCTGGGCTCCAGGTGCTTCTCTTCTAGAGAAGCAAATAGTTTAGATATTGATGAATCTTAGAAAATGTCATGTCTACTTCTACAAACAACATGAAAAGATTACAAACATTTTTGTTGCAGATGAATCGAAATGACATTTTAATCTGATAATAATCAAATTATAAGATTTAGCTCTAAGTTTACAGGCATTGAAAATGAAGAATCAACACAAACATGCCTTTGAGCTCCTATGTGATGCCATTGCTTCTATCTTGTCATTGAACATCACTTCTTTGTGACAAGCTTGATACATATGATCCTTCTTGGCTTGTCTGTCGTATTTGTTTCTCTCCTTTCTTCCTTCTATGATTAGATTGTATGTGTACACAATCTTGTCTTGACCAATTCTATAAGCTCGGCAGATCCCCTACCTTCCAACATACGGGTTCCATACAACATACAAGAGAACTATACGTGACACATGTAATGCATTCACTAAGTCCACAACACTCCTTCATCGATGGAAACATTACCTTGGCATCACTTTTCATGTCATTGAAGGCCTCCATCACAACTTCTCAATTTTTTACTAGGACATCTCACCTCATCAGCAGGATCCCCTTACCTTCAGCCCAGTAGAACATTGTACTAAGCTGGTCCATGATCAAAGATAGTGGTTCAAGATACTGACAGAAGAATAGCACTCACTCTTTCATGATTTCACACAGATAGACAATCTCCTAGACAAACCTTGTATTTACTCCCTTGAATGGTGACAATAATTAAACTCTTCTGTTAAGAACAATCACATAATACGTTTCTTTAATTTCTGCACAAGTTTTGCACGTTCACTACTTCAAAAATGGTTTAGGCTAGCGCCACCCCTTTTTTTTCATTTGCTGCAAAAATGCTCAGCTTCCACTGTAGATGTGTTAGAACAAGCAGCCCATTTAAGGCAGCCACTAGCAAAAATGCAGACCAGTGGTCAGCTTAAGCCACTGCCTATGGAGTTGTTTCACTAGCAGGCAGTTTAAGTCGTCCGCCAAAGAAAATGGCCCTAACTATATAAGCAAAGCCAAGTTCCCTGCTCATTTCATCCCGATTTTCTCTCTCTTAAAAACAACACTACAGGGGCGAAGGTTTTCAACTTAAGTCATTTGGTAGAATTTGGATATCTAAGGATAGTTCTATGTTGTCCTACTTGTTTTTGAAGTTTTCTTCTATCTTATGCATTTAATGTAGATAATTTAGTGTCATGCTATGTACAAATATTCTATACGTCAAGTGTTTGATTTGCAAAATGGAGATCAAAATGGTCGAAAATTTTAGGCAATCATTGTGCAATGTTGATTTTCCACACAATTTACACATTTTGGTGGGTTCATTAATAGATTAATAGTATAATCTAGATCTAGTAATAGTATGGAGCTTAGATCACCATTACATGGCAACAATTAATCCCAATTTTAGTATTCAAGCAATAAACTTTTTAATGCAAGTCACATAGCCTGATTGTGAATAGTTTATCCACATGAACATTCTAAGCTTACCATTCTCCACATTATTGTGCTTTTCCTATAGAGAAGCCAAAATATTAAATATTGATTAATCTTAGAACCTGACATGTCTACTTCTGCACACAACGTAAAAATATTGCAAACATTTTAATCTCAGATGAACCGAACTGTCATTTTAATCTCAAAAGAATCAAATTACATTTTAACCTTTCCATAATTTGCAGGCAATGAGTGAAGAATCTTTGCAAACATGTCTTTGAGCTTCCCATTTGATGTCATTGCTTCTAATATCTTGTCATTGAATATCACTTTCTGTGAAAAGTGAAGAATCTTTACAAACATGTCTTTGGGCTCCCCATGTGATGTCATTGCTTCCAATATGTTGTCATTGAAAATCACTTCTTGTGAGATTTTGAACCCTGCAGGCTGTGGTAATGTGGTTTTTCCGAAAACAACAGTTTGGACATATGATCCTTCCTAGCTTGTCTATCATATTTGACTTTCTCCTATGTTCCTTTCTGCGATTAGATTGTTTGAGTACACCAATTCTATATGCATGGCCTATCACCTTCCATACAACATCGATGAGAATTTCACGTGATGCCCCAACAAGTGTAATGCCTTCATAGAACCAAGGTTGTTTAATCTCAAAATAATCAAATTACATCTAGATCTAGTAATAGTATGGAGCTTAGATCACCATTACATGGCAACAATTAATCCCAGTTTTAGTATTCAAGCAATAAACCTTTTAATGCAAGTCACATAGCCTGATTGTGAATAGTTTATCCACATGAACATTCTAAGCTTACCATTCTCCACATTATTGTGCTTTTCCTATGGAGAAGCCAAAATATTAAATATTGATTAATCTTAGAACCTGACATGTCTACTTCTGCACACAACGTAAAAATATTGCAAACATTTTAATCTCAGATGAACCGAACTGTCATTTTAATCTCAAAAGAATCAAATTACATTTTAACCTTTCCATAATTTGCAGGCAATGAGTGAAGAATCTTTGCAAACATGTCTTTGAGCTTCCCATTTGATGTCATTGCTTTCAATATCTTGTCATTGGATATCACTTTCTGTGAAAAGTGAAGAATCTTTACAAACATGTCTTTGAGCTCCCCATGTGATGTCATTGCTTCCAATATGTTGTCATTGAAAATCACTTCTTGTGAGATTTTGAACCCTGCAGGCTGTGGTAATGTGGTTTTTCCGAAAACAACAGTTTGGACATATGATCCTTCCTAGCTTGTCTATCATATTTGACTTTCTCCTATGTTCCTTCTGCGATTAGATTGTTTGAGTACACAATATTCTCTTGACCAATTCTATAGGCATGGCCTATCACCTTCCATGCAACATTGATGAGAATTTCACGTGATGCCCCAACAAGTGTAATGCTTTCACAGAACCAAGGTTGTTTAATCTCAAAAGAATCAAATTACATTTTAACCTTTCAATAATAATTTACAGGCAATGAGTGAAGGATCTTTACAAACATGCCTTTGAGCTTCCCATTTGATGTCATTGCTTCCAATATCTTGTCATTGAATATCACTTCCTGTGACAAGTGAAGAATCTTTAGAAACATGTCTTTGCGCTCCCCCATGTGATGTCATTACTTCCAATATGTTGTTATTGAAAATCACTTCTTGTGAGATTTTGATCCCTTGCAGGCTGCGGTAATGTGGTTTTTCCGAAAACAACAGTTTGGACATATGATCCTTCCTAGCTTGTCTATCATATTTGACTTTCTCCTATGTTCCTTCTGCGATTAGATTGTTTGAGTACACAATATTCTCTTGACCAATTCTATAGGCATGGCCTATCGCCTGCCTTCCAATAGAAGGGTTCCATGCAACATCGATGAGAATTTCACGTGATGCCCCAACAAGTGTAATGCCTTCACAAAACCAAGGTTGTTAAAATCGCGACCTTGAATTTAAAACCATAAAATCGTAGAATCAAGCACATTTTAATTACAATCGTAAATTCATAAAATCATATGACAAAATCGAGTCTTTGACAACCTTGTACAACACTCCTTCGTTGATGCAACCATTACATTAGCATTGTGTTTCATGTCATTGAAGGCCTCCACGGCTTCTTGAAATTTTACTAGGACATTTCCACTCATCTACAGGATCTCCTTATTTTCGGTCCAATTGAACATTGTGCTAAGCTGGTCCATGATGAAAGACAGTTATTCATGATATTGACTGAGCATATGCACTCACTCTTTCATGGCTTCACCACAAATGGACAATCTCCAAGACAAACCTTGTGATCTCCAAGACAATCTCCAAGACAAGCCATGCATATATATATGTTTGTATATACTATATACATACATATACAAATTTTATTCATAAGTATGTATAGCATACACATACATATATACGTACAAAAGAGATATAGGGGTGATTTGTTGTCGTCTAGCGCGCACCACGCACGGCGCACGGTTATCCGCCCATCAGCACCCCAGACCGCTCCTCTTCTCGAGCGAAGAACCCTAGCGCCGCCGCCCTCTTGATTTCCCTCCCCGCACGTTTCCTCCACAAATTAATTGCCAAAATTGTTTCCTTACATTGTGGGCATTATTTCCCCTCTTGAATTGCATTCGATCGAGCCTTTAATCACCGTGGGAGACGCCTGTTTCCTCTCTGCCTTCAATGGCTGGTTTCCCACTTCGCCGGTGCCGATCTCCCTGCCTAGCGCCGTTCCTTCTCCCTAGTGGCTTATATAAGCCCGCCGGAGGAGTGTCCTCGCCAGTGACCAGTGAAGACGCCATCGTCTTCTTCCTCCAACAGCGCATCCAACCTCACCGGAGTGCCATCCCGCAACGCCGTCGCTGCCGCCAGCCTCGCCTCATTGAGATCTTCCTCGTCCACGCCTTCACCAAGATCAGCAAGCACCGGACCTCCATCCTCACCGTCAACCCGAGCTACCCACCTCTCCTTCTTCGTCAGCCGGAAGTGATTGTAGCTCACCGGTGGCAGTGATAATGGCATGTTGACATCAGATCTATGACCAATGGACCGGATGCAAACATGGAAGCACTGGTGGAGAAACCATCTTTGGTCGGTCGGCCGAAATCCACAATAGTCCCGGTTCCACTAAAAACTGGGACATCTTTAGTCCCGGTTCAAAAGGTTAGAGCTACTTTTTTGATCTTTAGTCCCAGTTGGTAACATCAACCAGGACTAAAGATCATTTTTAGTCCCGGTTTAAAAGACAGCAGGTGGTGTCAGACCCCTCCGTTATCTTTAGTCACGGTTGGTGACACCAACCGGGACTAAAGATCTATTTTTAGTCTCGGTTGGTGTTACCAACCGAAAAAAAAGATCGACATGCGTGGTGCGAGATCGAGAGGACCGAGGCGCACGGGAGGATCAGTTAATAAGCTCTGACCTTTATCTCCTCCTCTCCTCACTCACCCCATCTCTTCCTCTTCCTCCTCCCATCTCTTCCTCTACCTCTTCTGGATCCGCCTCCTCCCCTCTCCTCCCAACTTCTCAACCTCCTCTGGATCCGCCCCCTCCCGTCTCCTCCCCACTTCTCAGGCGGCGGCGGCCGGGCGACCGCGGAGGCGGCCTCGCGCGGCCGGGAAGCGCGGAGGCGCCCTCACACGGTGGCCGGGCGGCGACGGAGGTGGCCTCGCGCGCCCTCACGCGGTGGCCGGGCGGCGAGGCACAGCGCGCGACGGGCGGTGGGGCAGCGCGCGGCGCGGACGGCGGGGCCGCGCATGGAGCGGCAGCGCGCCGGCTCTCCTTTCCTTTTTTTTATAATTTGTGATTGAGAGATGTATACTTTCTATAACCGATCTGTGATGTATTTGATTTGTGTGTAATTTTTTTAAGATTTGTGATGTATTTGATTTGTGTGTAAGTAACATAGGATTTGTATTTGTGATGTGAATGATTTGTGATGTTACTTTGAATTTGGGGATTTAGGGTTTGATTTAGATATATGCATGACACTCGATTTGGGGATTTGTTGTTTGATCTGGGTATATACATCCCACTTGATTTGGGAGAAAATAAAAAGAAAATGGACCAACCGGGACTGCCCCTATCCTCTCTTTAGTCTCGGTTGGTAGCATTAACCGGGACTAAAGATCCCTCTCTTTAGTCCCGGTTGGTTACCAACTGGGATTAAAGATCGATGTTTACTCTCGATTATTTCACCCGGGACTTAAGCCCTGGGACTACAGGGGTTATAAACCGGGAGTAAAGATGATTTCTCTATCAGTGAAGGATACCAGTGAAGGAGAGGATGACTGTTGTGAAGAGGAGGGAAGCTTTATTATTTTTGGCATCTTCACAATTTTTTTCTGGATTTTCTTTCTTATTGAAAAATTCTAGATTCATCTTATTGAAGAAGATAAAAATGGATTGAATAAGTCGACCTTGGAATCAGGGTACCTTTTCTTTAACATTTATCATTTTCTTTTCGCGCGGATGTTTCTAGAATTACCTGGATGTTGCTACTCTCTTCATTTTCTTGTGCTCCGTTGATGCATGCACGTGGGCAGCGTTTCCCATGGCCAAGCACAGTGAGGTTTGTTTTAATCCTAAAATCCTTAATTAATTTATCTTAAAGGTTAACTCCAATTAATCAACGATAAACTAAAAGGCGACATAATTTATTTATTTATTTAGTAAAATTAAACCTTTTCCAATTACAAAGATTTTATTAAGTTATTTTAGGTAAATAAACACGGATGTGAATTTTCGAGTTCAGGAAAATTAAAAAACACGAAAAACGGGAGTAAGATGCCTCAGTGCTCCATCTCTGTATCTCCAACCCCCAAAATGATGGTTGATCCCCATAACCAAACATGATACGAAAATCATCCCAAGTTACCAACGGGCCCGGGACCATCCCATCCTATATTTTCTCTAAACCGAATTCATGATTATTACTCCCTCTATTTCGTATTTTAAGTCGTTTAACTTTTTTTCATAAACAAATTTTGTTATGTTTGACTAAGTTTATAGAAAAATCTAGCAACATTTATTAATTAGTTCGTTAAATCTAACATTGAATATATTTTAACAATATATTTGTTTTGGGTTCAAAACATTAATATATTTTTCTATAAATTTGATCGAATTAATTAAATGAAGTTTGACTAGAGAAAAAGTCAAACGTCTTATATAATATGAAACTTAAAACTTAGAGAGTAGAATTATCTGTGCGCTATTGTCAAGAGCCATAACAAGTGGGTCTGATTTAAAACCTTATCCAATCCAAAACGTACACATCTACTCCAGCAGTCCAGCCCCGTGTTCAGATCTTTGATTCTTGAGAGAAGGCGTGCACGAACGGATCGGTTTCACTAGAAAACGGCGAAAGGGCCCTATCGAAAAAAAAAGTAGTAGTAGTCCACAGCCCGGCCCAATACGCATCAGATTCTAATCGGAGACGAAATCCGAGCCGACTTCGCTCTCTGGCTCTCGCACCGTCGCACGAATTTGCCTATTATATCTGGCTTTTTCTGAATCTGAAGGGGATCACACAGCGAAGGCTCCAAGCACGCGCATGTCTGACGAGAGACAGGAGGCTGTTGTTGTTGCGGAAGAAGCCGAGCAGACGAAGGAGATGGAGCGCGTGCGAGGTAATAGCAGCAGCAGTAAGCGCTCAGAGCCTGTGGATCTTGTCAAGGAGGAGGAGGAGGATGGGGAGGACTGGTTCGATGCGTTGTTGAGAAAACTCGGCCACCCCTTCACCGTCGACGAGAAGGGCAGGTCCGTCCCAGATCCCGACTGGTGTCCCTACGCCCACGGAGATCCCAGACACGTGCTCTATGTTGATAGGAGAAACACCCCCGACGTCGATATGTTCGCTTTCATTCTCGGACAGATGTACGTATCCTGATCCTTTCTTTCTAAGTTCTTGCTTTTATTGATTTGGGTTCATAAACCTCTCGTTTCATTTACATATGCTATTAATCATGTTTACTCTAGCTAGCTATAGTATTACTTTCTGTCATAGAATACAAGGAAGTATGAATTTGGTAGTATGTCAATAATAAGTGTTCTAACAAAGCCGGGCTGGTTGGTATGATATTATTTGGTTTGCTTTTTGTAAAGTATAAAAGTCTTACTATATAATCAAAAATTGGTTGCTTTGTTTATTTTTCTTGGCTTACTTATAAGCCATAGTTGCAACAATGAGACATTGACGATAATAACTATATCTTGGCCGACGTATTTAGGATAAGGTCAGTGATACTATTGTGTTAATTTGGAAACTATTGCTGGTCATGGGCAATGGGCACTGCTCTAGTAGAGCTAACTATAAAAACCATCATACATATGAAATATGCAATGCTCATACAATTTATAGCATTTGCATTACTTTTTTTTTCTTAAACAAGCTGACAATAATTCATAAGATTATGTATTCTATAGTTTAAAGTTCCATGCATGTTTAATTAATTAGTGTAACTGCCAATTCGATATAGTTTACACTTTGCTAATTATGATTACTCTTCGATGCTAGACCTGTGGATGATGCTGATGACAGGGAAAAGGGCATCTGGAATGCTTCTATGGTTTACATGAGAGCTCAAAACATGGTAATGCATTTAGTTAGTGCTTGGGATACCTTTCTTGAATTTTTATCATTTCCTTTGTCAATAATAAAATCAATGTAATATAATATTGGAGTAAAAAAGAAAAACGGATATAGCATTCCCAAAAGATCGATCGGATTACATATTGCATTCACTTTGTGATAGTGCTCTTACCTGATTTACCCACAATGCAACTACCAACATGTATATGCAATTGATGCTCTTTGACCAGTTGACCATAGTTAGAGAATTTATGCAACTGCAAACTAATTTAAATTCTTCTACACATGCATGTCAAATTATTCAGAGTCATTTGCGCATGGAAAGACACAAGTCATAAGATAATATTATTATAAATAAGTCGAGAAAATGTTAAGCTATTACATTTCTTTTTACCAGATGCTACTACATAAATTTGCATTTAATAGCATTTAACCATTCAAAAGTCAACTTCTTTTGACATGCTTTAATTTGGTGAACTAGCAAAGGTAAAAGAGAAGCCACATTATTTAGTTCATCTGGGGCAATATCATTGCTTGAAGTCCATAAAACTTTTTGGGGAACTATTTCTTCTGGATAGAGTATGTCCTATTATGTTCCTTAGGATTTTTAGTGTGTTTCATCTAGTTATGACTTATCAGAAGACAAGGTCCAAGAAAATAATTCCAGAAAAAATTCTCCTAATGGTGGTGCTAGCTCCACTGAATAAAATAAAAGAAAGACCAGACGGTTCTTATCTAATTTGAAACAAATTTGAATAATAATCAGTGTTGGATGTGCTTGCAGTCATAGTTGTCAATTGGAACCAAATATTCGTCATAAATTTTTTATTTAATTAAGGTATAAACCAGAAGAATTTGTGGATCTTAGTTTAAAAATTAGTGTTTGTGGCCTCGTGGGAACTACTGGCAAGTGGAAACCATTCAATTACATAAATGGGATATCCAACGACCTTTCTGGAAGTTATTATAAGGCTAGTAGAATTGTGTTACAATTTGTTCCTCCCATACAATATGCCAACTCATTTCTGGTTTATGCATATGTTACATTCAAAATTCTGACTTCTAAAGTGCTAGTACTAATTATTATATTTTCTTTAGTCGTCAGAGTATGATATGGTTCCAAACAACTTGGTCTTGTATCCTATGATGTTTGAGAAGCGCCGTTGGTATCACTGTAACATCTTGGGATGTAAACGTTTAAACGATTCTACGGGGGAACACTCCACACAACAACGGTTTTTTGTTGAGCTTATCATTAATGGTGGATTCATCTACCATGTGCTTTCTTGCACCAAAGTTGGTATGCCATTTCTTCCTTTTTAATCTGATGTTAATGTTTCATGTCATAATTCCATCATTTTATAAATTTGTTTTTATCAAATTTCCCTTTTGTAGATGGTGACATCGACAACAATCTATGTATAGCTTGTCCGCCCAACAGTGGCATAGTGCATCCACCTGCAGGTGGATTTATTTGTGGGGTTTCGAAAGATCAGAAGATATTCAAGGTCCCCTTCTATTAATTAGAATTTAGATTTTAGAGCTTATATAGCAATAGTAGAATTAGTTGGGCCTTTTTTGGTTGTTTTCTATTTTTCAGCCTTAGCTTTAAGTAGACAGCTAAGAATAGAAGTACAACATGTTTTGCCCTAATATTATTTTTTTGTTGCTTGCACTTACTGTCTTTGCCTTATAAGTTGTAAAAAAAAGCTACCAATGTCTTTGTGGAAACTCTATGATGTATACGCTGTCATGTCATGTAACTTATATGCTTTATTTTCCTATCTATTATTCTCATGTTGGATGTTCTACCAGCTGCCTGTTGGTACAGGTGGCACAACCCTATTTTTTGACGCATGTACTATTGGCGGCTGTTAAATACCAAATTCACGCCGTCAATACCTGCATAAAACTGAAATATAATATAAAATATCCAACATAGTAGTAGGGTTTATTTCTAACAAAATCCACAAGTGTTGGCGTATATTTAGATGCAGGTGACAAACTACTAGAGTTGAGAAGAAATATACATAAAGAAGGAAGATAATCAAACTCATATTCAAGCCTATGGAGTTTTGGGGGCCACAAACCTAACGAAACACGTTCAAATGGGCCCATTCACCAAACATATGGGTTGAGGGATTCTCCACCAGAGCCCAGGAGAAAAGGCTGGGTCAAATGGGCCAGCCATGGTTTGGTCGAACCGACATTGGTGCTGTTCGCCATCTTCTTCCACGTGGACGATCTAGATAGCCTCCTAATGACGGTGGAGAGGTAGTTGGGACATTTCCAACTGCCAAACCGTCATATGAAGGCTATAAAAGGAGCTCACATGCTTCATTTCAATACACACCAAAGCATGAGCTGAATTATAAGAGGCTCTATTGCATCTTTTTTTACATTAGAATAGGGAGAAATTAAAGAAGAAAGAGTCAGAGGAATTCCAGAGTTGTCGGTACTTTCCTCTTTACTTTGTGTACCTTGTCAAGTACTCAGCTTTAATTGATATTATCTTTATCGAGTAATTGAGATTTGCTTTCTGAGGATTATCTCTTAGTTCCTGGATCATTGTTCACTATTTGTCAATTAATAGATAATGATTACTTTAGTGTTTAGATAACGCTAGAGTAGTAATTAATTGCATAGATGCGATGTTAAGGTTGTTAATTACCGGTGATTGTTGCGTATCCCACAGTTCGTTAGAAGTTGGTGTAGAGGTGGTGACAGCCCTTGAGATCACTGCAGTCCTTCTTGTTCGGGTACGGAGTATAGTGCGTTCTGGTAGCAGTGAGCAAGCTAGTGCCTGAAGTATTGCGATAGAATTGAATAAACTTTCTATAGACAATGTTCCTCACTAGGAAATCCTCTCTACCCTTTGCCTATTTTTGCTTTGTGTCCTTGGATGAAGAGGAGCTGAACACACATGTTCCCTATTAAAATTCGATATCTTCGTGCGCTTGCGGATTTCATCTGTGACCGTAAGAAATATCAACATGTACGAGTGAGCGAGCCCGAGCTAGCTTAACGCCGCCTGTACACGGTTGCGCATGGCTCATGCAGCATCATTAGCCAGGTGCCACACATGATTAAATGGACTAGGTAGACCCACGTAGGAAGAAAGAAAAGATGAAAAGATTGGTCTATCACTATACGCATTTATTTGGATACTTATGTTTACGGCATAATTTTGACAAATTAATCCTTCTATAAAAATTATTTTAATAATAAACCGTGTCAAAAACTAATTTCAAAAATAGATCGTGACCTCAGTGCTACCCTGATAATGCTAAACTAAAATGTCTCAGTGCACCTAACGTGGCACAAATTAGACATGTAAAAGTAACTCAGCGTCACTATACATTACACTGACATCTTAATATAGGTTTAAAATATACGGCATGTGCTGAAATCATGAGTAGTATTAAACTTTATCCGTTTTATAAAAAAGTGCCTATAAGTAATAAAAATAGACAAAACAATTTTAAAGTTAAGAAGTGAATTTAAATGTATTCGAGTAATTCATAGCACATACATATGTAATTTTCAGTTATTAAATAGACCAAGATTAGTATTACTATGTTTTAAGCATATGGTTAAGGTTATAGCATATATACTTTAGAAAAGTGCTATCACGAATTGTGTGTATCGTTAGGTATTCTTGCAGAACGCAATTAATCCTAGAATGAGTTCATATTGGTATATGTATTTCTCCCTGAAAAGAGAAAATGAACGTGCATTTTTCCAAAAAGAAAAAAAAAGATATGTTCAAAGTGCTTAAATACAAAACGTGCAATTTCATTAAAAACAATTTACTTATTCACCCAATAAAACCTAGCTAGCGTATGTTACTACTCTTTCTGCAGTCTTTTACTAACACAAAATTAAGAAAAAAATATTTAAGAGTTTTGTGGATTGTAAGTTTTCTATAAACAATTAACACGAAATGAGTTTATTCATGTAAAATCTTATGTATTCTTACTTGACAAGAGAACATAAATAGCATGTTTGTGTTATATACCAATAGATCTGTTATAGTTTTGTTCATCGTGTATTTTAAACCTAAATTTTAAAACCCATTAATTAATATTACAGGATATAAATATTGCACGCGCCAACGGGCACATCGATTTTCTAGTTATGTTCCATTATGGGGGAATTCCAGGAAATTGGAAAATGAAAATATCGCTTACTTCTCAAAAAAAAAACAATTGTCTCTGCAATCTCTTATTTATCAAAGCCATTTTGTACTTATACCAGATATGCGGATAATCCAACCATTATTTGACATGTTAAGTTTTGAACACTCGAACCGATTAACTCCTCATAGCACGATGTTCAATGTTACTAAAAAAAATTGTATTGATGCTGGTTGCGAAACCCCCATAGGTGCCGGGTTTTCTAGCCGACACCCCTCAGGTGGCACCGATGACAAAAGCCATCGACTAGCACCTATAGCATATAGACAGTTGTAACCATGAACCGACACCTATATATTGTTATAGGTGCCAGTTCTTGGCCCCCAAGCGCCATGTGGTGGTTGTTGTCACAGCCTGATTTTCGTTTCAGGATTTATAAATTACTTAATAAATTATTAATAGAATTTATATTAAATGTTCATTAATTTACAAGTGAAGTTAAATGTGGGAAATAAAATTTCCTAAATATAAAGCATGGCTGGATTTAATTTTTATTAAATTCTCCATGATTAATTATACTCTTTGAAATTTTCTCAGATTTTTCAGAGCTCAATTCCTAAATGATACAAAGAACAGTTCAATAATTAGTTAATCAATAATCATTAATGATCTAGTTATAATTATGTTAAATGCTTTTCTCGTTTAAAAATCCTTAAATTATAAATTGTGGTTTAAAAGGAATTATTAGAAATGATCTTAAAAGCCTAAAAGAGAAGATCTAATTTTAATTTGTTAAATCTCAATATAAAAGTGGGCTAGATAAAATTTTGTTAAATACTTCTCTTGTTTCTATAGTTCCTAGATTTTTCTGGGATTTATTTGAGCCAAGGAAGTATTTTTAATCAATGGAATATCATTTCATGAATAATTTAAATATAAAAAGGTTTTAAATCTCTCTTTTAGCTTTGGGCCGAAAGTCAGCCCAAGTCTCTCTCACCCTCCTTTCAGCCTGCTCGCGCCCGGCCCAAGCCGGCCCAGACCGCCGCGCCCCTCCCTCCTCTCTTCCTTTTGCTGACAGGTGGGACTCACCTGTCAGTCGTCTTCAACCTCCGGCCGCATTTAGCCGCGCCGCAAGCCGCCGCCTCCTTCCAAAATCCGGCCGCCCCTTTCCTTCTCCGGCCAAATCAATTGAGGGGAAATAATCTCCTCGATCTCCTCTTCCTTTTCTCTTTAGGAATCCCGACCTAATTCGTTTGGAAATCATCGGATTCAATGCCGATTTGGTTAGCTTCTCTTTCCAAAACCCTAGACCTTCCATCTCCTTGCCGCCGGCCATGGGCCTCCATCGCCGCCCCCTAGCCCCTATAAAAGGACCTCCGGGACCTCCTCTCCACATCACCATCTCCACCTTTGACTGCCGCCTTCTCTAGCGCCGCCTCTGTGTGGCTCTTTGCGTCGTCGCCGCCGGCGGGTGTCCAGTCGGGCGCCGCCGTCCCTTCGATTGTCGTCGTCGGACGCCGTCTCCTTCATCAGCATCGCGAGGTCATCGCCGTCCTCGTCCCGTCTTCCGTTTCCGCCGCAGATCACCGAAGCGCAGCCGACACTGTCGACCCGAAGCTCTCCACCGTCGCCGTCGGTCCAGCCGTGCCGTGCCACCGTTGCAGCCACCGCCTTCGGTCGTCGTCGCCACCGTCGGGATCACGAGGAGGAGCAGCACCTCGTCCACCCCTTCGTTGCCGCCGTTTCCCACCGAAGCACCGCCGTCACCGCCGACCCGAAGACCGCCGTCGTCATCCATCGTCGTTTGCCGTCGTCCAAGCCACTGGTGAGTTCGCTGAGCCGAGCTCTACGCGTTGGTGCCCTCCGTTTGCGCCGCCGTGCCGTCGTTCGCCGGCGAGCACGAGGTGCCGAGCCGCCGCCGGAGATGACATCATCGCTGATGTTAGCACTTTGTCAGCCGTAGACCCGTGGTAGACCGGATCGATCTCGGCCGTTCGATTCAGTCAATTTTAGGTCAATTAGATCTTGGCCGTTGGTTCCGTGGACCGCTTCTGTGAACCCGGTTTACCATGGACCGTCTTTGATGATGCAATAAATCTATTTTCCTTTTCAAAAATAATTCTTTATTGCGTCATAATTCAATTTAAAATCCATATAAATGCTTTAATGCGGTTTAATCTTTAGAAATGCATAACTAATTCATTGTAACTCGGTTTAATGTGGTTCAAGTTGCAAAAGTTGTATAAAATAAAGATCTATATATTAAAATTATCCATAAATTGTGTTAAATTTATTTAATCCTTTTTAAATGGGCTTTAATTAGATTAAATCTTGTACAATTCGTAATTAATTCATATGAAGTCAGAATGAGGCCATTCAAGTCTCATAATTCATCTAAAATTATGATCTACATGTTTGTTTACTTTATATGTATTGTTTATTTGGAGTTTCTTAGTCTTTTTCCTCGTTTTGCGTGTTAGCTTGTCGTTTCCGTCATTGTGAAGGTTCGCGAGTGTGTCGGAAGTGTTCCAGAAGACAAATTGAAGACCCATTATTGCAAGTCAAGTCACACAGATCCCAAACATAATTCCTTTGAGCATGTTGATCCTATATTTAAATTCTCTATTTATTTCAACTGTGCATTTTTTTTCGAATGTCATC